TCTCATTTAATGACCATATACAGTGTTTTTTCACATGTAAGTAGAAAGAAGTAAATTTTGTCAAGTATAGCAGACCATTTTAGGTGAAATAACACATGCACAGAACATTCCTTAGATCTTTTCTTGGAATAATAAACTAAATTCGATAAAAGTATATGATTTAACACCAAATCTATATCTAAATCTCAATCATACGTAACCGGCATATAAGAAAATAGTGATTTGCTATGATAACGTAACATTAAGAAATAAGGAAGCAAGTGTTAAGCCCTTCTCTGTTATGTATCCTAATTTTTCTTATTGATATACACGTTTTGTACCCAAAAATAACACAAAAGTACTACTTGGTATACAACCATTGACAGTATTCTTTGCCCTATATGCGTTATTATTCATGCAATTCATGCTATGATTATACAGATAATTTTAATGGTCTATATAATATAAATATCATTTTTTGGGGGGATGAATCTACATTTCTTATACCATAACATGGAAATTCATGGAATTCTAAAAAAGCTATGACAAAAACAGTTATCTGAATACGTGCAACGAAGTTTAAGGTATCCGTATAACACGGTGATAAACAATGTTTCTTCTGACTGGTAAACGTAAACAACCTACACACGTGAACCAAGCACAACAAATCATACGTGGCAGTGTCTTATTGAGCAATAACCAAAATGAAAACTTTACAAATTGAAATGAAGACATAACATGAACTCCATAAAAATACGAGGTAATTTCTGTTCTCTTAGAAATACTATTACTATATCGTTATGATGTTTTTATGTAAGACATATGTCTTATACATAATGTATAGTTATAGTGTATATCATATGGATGTACGTACACCGCGTTGAATAACTTGTGTCCAATGCAATTGTTTTCCCTTCTAGCGATAAAATTTGTTTACATTGTAATGTAGCATTTAAGCTATATAGTAATACATAGATATACCCTACTTGTGTACTTGTGTACTGGAAGTACTCTAGTATGTAACAATGACACGATTATCTGTAATCGAGCGTATCAAATAAGTGATATATATGTTAACTCTAAGTAGTTTATAAGCTTCTATATTAGGACCAAGGGTATGATATTTTATCCTTTCAGATTAAGTGCTTCCTCTGTATTCATACATTCTTGATGAATCACTCTTCGTACAAATGAATTGATTTGCCGGGTAGTTATTGATTTGAATCTGTTTTGACAGTAACCACTGAGGTATGTAGGCTGATGATAACTGTGCAGCTGTCCTTGGTCGATAAATAAGCAGTATAATGCTGATGGAATGCTGAAACTGACATCATTTTTATTTTAATCTTTAATTAAAGTGTTTGGAAATTCTAATTTGCTGTTAAACGTTCTGAATGAATATTAAATGTTGTTTGTTATTTGTCGCACACGGCGTTAGATGATATAAACATACATGTATTCATCCTTTAAACGGCAAACGAAAAACAGCAAGAGTTTATTATCTGACACACTGACGATAGCTAAACTAAGTTAGATAATCATATTTTGACTTATCATATTTAATATAGGTTTTCTATGTACATTGTTATTATTAAAAATTAATGAGCTGTAAACGGATAATTATTGTGGAATGTAGTTCGGTTGAAAAGTCGTTAAAAGACATACATTTACGAGTGAACTATGAAATAATTGGAAGGAACTTAAAATCATTCTGTAGTTGTAAATATCACATAATTTTTCCAACAATCATGAAATGATGCAGTCATTTCAAATATTTTTGCAATATATTCCACTAGTAAGTGTACTACAGATTTGTTTGATTTTAAGGAGCGAATGTTTCACGGTTGTCCTGAGATCATGGTTCATTTTAAAATATCAATTAAGGTTCTCGCTAAATAGCGAATACAAATCAGATTACCAGCTATACCTTTGACAACTATAATTATTTTTCAGAGATGGTAAAGTTGATCCCATCCGGAATTATCTAAATTCGTCAAACCCTACCCTAGAATTTATTTGTTATGCTTTTGTAAACGTGCTAGTAAAGCGTGCATTTTATTCGTCGTTCTTAGAAGCTGTGTTGACGAAAGTCTAGAATTCTAAGGGAATTTTGGAAATCTAACCCTACAAACAAAACAATCATAAACAATACAATCATATATATACTGAAAATTGGCGGTTTTAACTTTTGATTAGTTCCAGTAATTTGAATGATTTTCATTTCTAACGTTATACATAAAAGATTTTTAATATTCAATTTGTGTGTGTGTTTTTTTTTTTAAACTCTTATCTCAAAGCATAATTATGTAATCTTAATTATTTCATTCATAGAATTTATACAGCAGTGGTTTGGAGATAAATAACCCGTGCCATGCATGGTTTTTAAAAGTCTAATTAACAATGTAGTGAAATGACTTGATATAGCTGAACTACTTAATATCCCATTCATTCACTATAAATGAATGATACCCACAACTAATGTCTAAAAATAGAATGTATCACTCACTCGTCCGTACATTGGGAACCCCAAATACGTCATTCTTACAAATACAATGCTTTATTCGCCAACCAAATCATTGTGTTGTGTCGTATATTTGTCTGGATCGTGAAGTAAAATAACCCGTGTCCAGACGTCACAAATTGACACCTCGTGATCATTACTTTGTACCATCACCACAAAAACAGTAACATAACGATATATAAGTATATCCTAATTTATAAATAAAGTAAGATTTTGAAATTTTTCAAGTAGAGAAAATATTCGCCGAGTCATGCCTGAATCATAGAGCATACTGGTTTGTGAAAGCATTACCAGACAAATCAAACTGTAATGATATAATACAGTTTATTTTACTCTTGTGTCTGAACAAGTGTGTGTGTATATGTATAACCAAATAATGGAAATCGTTGATCGTATGTTGATTATTTTAATATACCAAGCTAACTTCCCAAGCTGGGAAAATACAGTTAACATGAGATATATTATGTAACATTTCTATACTTCAGTGAGTGTTCCTATTAATGTTTATACTGAGTTCAATTAGATTTAATTTAAACATAAGAATAATTTGAACATTGATTACTATATCAACAACTTACAAAAACTGTAAATAACGCGATCAGATTTTAGCGCAATACTTTGAATGCGAAAAAAATCCTCGCCAAATTTGTACGTCTACTGTGATCAATAAAACTGACATGTGTAATCTTTACTTAAAACAAAACCTACGACATAGCTACTAGGTGTGACAAATTTGATATATATCTTTTATTACCGTTCAATTGACGCTTCCATTGTTGGAATACAAATGCCACATTTATTTACAGTTTATACATATACATTTACAAAGTAATACAGTTGTTTTAATTTGTTGGAAATACTTTTTAATTTACTGAAGTACTACATTAGAATTTTTTTCGTGTAGTGAACAATTTTCATACACCACATGGAGAAATTAATTGTGCGTTCTTTATTTCGCTTAATTCAACATAACATCGACACAATATAAACACTTCGGACTGTTTGTCAACAACATTTAAAATTTTGAGGGTCCGAATTTTCAGTCAATGTTGCAGGATAAACAAAACATATGATCAGTGGCTTAGAATTTTTTTTCGGTTCGTGAAATCGGAGGCTCTCCTTTTTTGCCTTTCTTAACTGCTTTCTATATGCAGTTTTTATTTTCGACCATGCGCCAAGTGCTCTCAATTTATTCCACGACCTGGCATCTACACTTTGGTAGATCCCCTGTATGATACTGGGGTCCCTGGGTGACTCACTGTATCTAAGATTTACTGAAATACGTATATAGGCAGCTGTCGTATCAGTTTATCAGAGACTTTGCGCTCAAAGTCTGCGTAAGATATAAGTAAATATGAAAGGTGTATTTATATTGAAACGGATTGGAAAAAACAAACTTGTGAACATTTTCATCATAATCATGGGGTAAATCTAAACGATAGAAAGATTTATATGCGTACGCGTACAAGGAGAATAAGACCAGGTGTTCCAGAAGAAAACGCGTTTTCTGCTTCATCTAAGATATTCCCCCATGTTAATCTTTATCAATTCAAGTAAGTAATGCCATGTTCTCATATGAGAACAATATATTAAAACTGGGATCAACAGGTAAACTAACGTGCGTCAAACAAGCCCAGGTTTATATAACACAAAGAAATAGAATATTTTCCTTTATAATCGTTTTCGGATTATTTTAAAACATGTTCCGTAATTTTATATTAACAATGGATCAATCAACACTGACTACCAGAAAGGAGAAATTTTGTTCCTTATATTCATTGTTCTTTGATTTATATATATCCGTAGAATGATGTGTGACATTGTAGAATAAGTGAAAACAACACATAAATTGGAAGATATTTCGTCCTTGAAGTGTCCCTGGAGTTTCAATGCATTTACGTTAACACTGGAAGTTTCAAACACGTGCTGTGGTGTTCACATCATCTAGTGAACAGAAATAGAGATGATAACATAAAATGAAGCCAAGAATATTTATTTACGATACCCTGAAGTACAAATTATTTAGTTTTCACTTTTGAGGTCTTATGTAAGATAAATACTATGAAAAATTCACCAGTGCACCTTCCCATCTAGATGTTGACTTTTTCGATAATTTTGATTTTTTTCAGTCGCATCTAGGGTTAGGAATTTAGACCCATATCATCACTGAAACAGCTGTACGATGCAGCTAAATTAATTGTTTGGCTCTAATTTACCTTACTTTTTTTATCTGAAGGTGTTATTCACTTGTGTGTCCATTGCACCATCTTTAAATAATGTAAAGTTAACAAATCTATAAACCGCAGAGTACAGATAAGACTTATCCCTTTAGGGCGATGAGTAACGTTTGATTACGTTTCTGCGTAGTTCATTGTCCACCTTCTTGAGTGTCAGTGAACCACTATAAAAACCTGTGGTATAAACAATAAAAGACGTGAGATTTTTTTTATACATTGTATATATATATTGATTTTGACAATATACATTGTAAACAGCTGAACCTTTTGAATGTTTAGAAGAAATCATATAAAAATGTATTAATACATAAGTAGAACATCAAATGGAATTCAAATTTAAATATCACTCTTAAAATAGACATTACTTGACAGATAACGCAACAAAACTAGGTTACAATATTTAAAGCATAGGAAATCACGTTTGTGATTCGTACAACAGCTTAAATAAACAATTAACAGAATGGAAATTATATTTCCAAAAAAAGACAAAACACGTCATACAGTCGACAGGTGTCCGTGCATGTTTTATCCTCAATCTGAGAAACTATCTAACCTTGGTGTCACTTCAAAATGACGTCATATCTGCCGATATGTTGATAAAACTATCACCGTCAAGGTGATAGCTCAACTGTAAATTGGCATGTACATAAATCAATACACTTTAACCGGGGAACACAATTTCTTAATGTCATAACACAGAAAAGGGACTATTTGGATTTAAAATAGAATGATCACAAGCCGACAAAGCGTCCAAACAGCGACACCTGTTCAAGTTCACAAAATAATGAATATTGACTTTTATCACAGCAAACTATCCAATAGGAATGATGATATACATTTATTAATAAAACACTGTGTTATCATAAATATACATGTTTTTTTTTTATTGCAAAAAATATAAAAAAAATGGCTCAAAGAATATATAATTGTATCTCATTTTTAAAATGAGATTATTGCACACAGTCCGCCTAAAGTAATACCTACTTCTTCTTTTTTATCAATAAATGACAAAGCCTGGAAATACAGTGGTGTGATGTTTAACATATATTTCGTCCTTAGATCAAGATCTCCATTTATCGGTTAGAAATCTAGTTGCCGATAGTTGTCGCTATAAAATAAGGTGGACATAAATATCCAGGCACTTACCCCAAGTACAATTGAGCAATGAAGTTAAGATTTGATTGTTTACATAAGTAGTATATCTTGTTACACACTGGTAACTGCTTCAGTAAAATACGACTTAAAGCTTATGTATGTGTTTTTCATAAGCATGATGTGCGTGTAATTGATATATAGAATGAATCATGTCTCATTCTAGTATTACCTTTGCCAGAGATCAAACATGGTATCACTTATCACATCAAAGATGTCAAAGAGATCAAATGTAAATGTGCTAGTCTCACCAACACAAAATAAATAAATTGCAAATAATAATTATAAGATGAAAACAGTTCAGCGAATAATTTAAGTGTTAAATGTAGCACGATGGAAAAATAGCGTGTGTATCGCTTACAAAAAAATGACAACCAATCTGATCTCAAGATTTCTTCAAATACAGCATACACCCAATTTCTAATTAATTCTCAGACGTGAATCATCTTTCCGGTTTAGCATAGGGCGCAACGTCGAATACAGTGATGGAAATACTTACAACTTTCTCTGGTTGTCCTGCGATGACAGTGTCATCTAGTTTTTACAGTCCTCACAAATTGAAACATTTTCCCCATTAGCAATTCAGAACACAGATAACAACAGAATATGCTTTCTGCTCATATGGGTGTAAACCGATGTTATCAGTCAAACAAGTCTGTCATAAATCTTAATGGAAACAAATTAAGATCGCGAACCTCTACCTCCGCCTCAGAAAGTTACACTCACAGAATTAGGGACAATGATCGAAGTGTCATTCCTATTTTTGGTAACTTCCAGGAAAGCCTTTCTGTTAAAACATTTCAATCCTTCCGAATATCCATCTGCTAAAACCTTTGGAAGATTTGCAATTGGATAACTCAAATGAGGGGCCCTTGAATACTTTGACCGGCACAAGGTTTGGATTCACGTGCAGAAATGCAAGCTGCCCACGTACGTGTTGCATAGATTTAGGTCCTCTATGTTTGCTTCTACGACATCAATCCAGTTCTGAATCTGTCTCCTCCAAAACCGAGTCCTGTCACAATGTAAAGAGTTTGTTTTCAGAACATAACAAACGAAATAAACACATCATATATGCAGGTTTCTTTTCAAAACCTGACATAATTTATATTCATAATTTCTCTGAAAGTTCTTAATTTTTAAGCAAATGTTTTATCAAACCATTACACTCAACCAAGAAATATGACTTCAATAAAACCTACCCATCCTCCCCTGTCTGTTATCCAGCCTGCAAACTTGTCAGAGAAGTACTGAAGAGCCATGTCCTTGAGCTTGAGCGCCACTGCTCCACCAGCGCCCGCCATATGTACAGCAGCCTTGGTGACATAGAAGTACATGGCAACATTGTGCCAGCCAACAGTACCACCAAGAGAGGATTCAACAACTTTAGTGAAGCGATTATACTGGTCAGTTTCTTGTACCAATTGCATAGCTATCGGCATGACAATGGATGGTACATTAATCTGTGAAAAGTACATTTGATACAAGTTAATAAAGGTATTGTCCATATCAGTTAAGATTCAGCGATTCAATTTACTGGTTGAAGTTTCCCACATGAAGGTGATTTTGGTAAACAATACGATCATGGAATTACACATAAAAAGCATAGCAATGATCACATTTGTCCCAAAAGCTCAGTAATCAGCACCTCTTGGTGGTGTCTTTTATTGCATGGCACATTTAACGTCAAACATATAGTAAAAGAAGGTTGATGCAAATGAAAGTTAAAATGGCTATTGGTATACAATACTGAATATTTAGATTTCCGGTTATGACAAATGACTTTTTGGATAGGGTTACATTGTAGAAGTTTTTACACTTACTGTCTCTGATAAACGATCTCCTTCTTTCCGTAACTCCATGATTAGGTCTCTCTCGATTGAATTAAGCCTCTCTAATGGCAATAGAACAAAGATTTCATTTAACAACTATTCTTCTCAAAAACTGTTAGAAATGTTATGCATGTAACACAAAACCAAAACGGATCCAATGGTAAGAGAAAATACTGGTCGGTCAAATCACATTCCATAAAACCAAAACGATTCAATGGTATTACAACGGTATGAGTATAATTATAGATAACAGACCACTCAGAAGATAAAATAAGATAAATATACCTTAATATATATCGTGTTTAATTAAGGAAGTAAATGGATTCTACAAAAGACATATGTGAATGGACTTTTTAACTTTACACACAATTTTTGTCTATGAATTTAAGATATAGTAACTGCAAGGAAATGAATAAACAATATTTTTAACCAGTCTGGTCTTATCATATCTAAACAACCCATGAGTATTATTTCCCTTTCTGAAATCGGAGTTAGCATGAAGGACGTGGAAATACAACGTCTCAAAATTGATGTTCATGATTATGGGTTCCAACTTCTTCATTATCTACCAGAAAACTTTTCTCTAAACAGACCCATCTGGAATATAAATTGAAATGTGTGGTACGGTGTAACTTACCTGGTGCTTGTCTCCCCGAATGAACACCGGTCGGGGACTGACACTCATTATCCGACTGGCTACTCTCTGCCCTTGTAACGTAGTTATCAGCAATGGCTGCAAGACGGTTGGCCACACTTTCAATGCGTTTATTTTTTTGCTCCTGTGAGAGTTCATCAAATGGGATCGAATTCACATCATTTCCTGATAACAGCCGTCTTCGGCCGCTCCCACGACCTGTTCCAAAACAGAAAACACTTTAATTTAAATGTGGACTGATACATATATGGAAATGTATGGAAAACAAGTATCATTCAGATAGTTGAAAATAAAGGATTGATCTATGCATTTGCAGTGAAATAAATTTCTAGAGTACCTGCTTACTTTCATTCTTTAAAAATATGTTTTTTCTATTGATTAAGGCAATGCTATTACCTTGCAAAATTGCTTTATTCATACAGTCTTACAAGACAACGCAGTGTTCATATATAAATGTATGTAAATTGATTATGAATGCTTACCCCTCTTGGCGACTGGCTCGTGCCCATCAACTTTGTCAAAATCGTTCGGACAGTCAGGTTCCACATCGTCAACTTCCATTGGACATATCCGTATGCTTTCGTGCGTATCCGTCACAACATCCATATAACCCTCTGGGCTCCTCACATATTTGATGTGGGTATCTGTTTCGACATCTACTTCAAAATTTCCTGATCTGGGCAATGAATTAGAAAAGGTATGGCATGGGACCAGTCCCTGCAGTTGAAGTCTTGACCTGTCCCCATGGCCATCGATACCAGCCCTCGTGGTAGATCGGGTTCGACGCCTTTCGGAAACATTTTGCTCGGTGTCCTGGGAGATGATTGCCTCAAATACCTTGGTGACAGTGTTTGGCGGTTGCTGGAACTGGCCCATAGGACATGGACTGGAGGGAGAGGATAATGATGCGTGGCGACTTGGGCGTTTCCATTGATCGGAACTGGAGGTGGGAGCTTTCATAAGACTAGGGCCCGGTTTGTTTTCTTCTCTTGGTGATTTAGGTGCTGTTTGAAAGGTAAATAAGAAGATTTATAAGTAATAAAAAAGAAGTGTTTGCTGTTGATCATACAAAGTTTCTGCAACAAGGTTCAAATCAAAATACGAATATCTATCTATTTGTAAACAAAACAAAATCCATTTTACGTAGGATATCAATATGTAGTTTTCTTTAACATAATTTGATGCAAACGGGAAATGGACAAGGTATGAATTACAAAGTCTATCAATAAATGAAACCCTTACGGTTCAATACACACTTTGTGGATATACAGTGTTATTGGTGGGCTTTTTATACGTCATATAGTGTAAAAGATCACTCAGATTAATTTCTTATTACAAAGTATCGCGTGCTGATCTTTATCCTGTACTATGGTGTCAGTATTCTTGGAAAAGTAAATGAAAAAAATGTCTCGGTTGACTGCTTTTGTGTAATTAGTGCAGGGTATTTTTCGTATCGATTATTAAGTGAACAAAACAATACCCCAGTCCTAGTGTATGTGTATTGGATTTTATTGACTGCCATAGTGCACTTGCTTGCTAAATCTCTACAAAAGTTAATTTATTCATCTGATGAAAACATTAAAGTAACACACGGTGTTCCAAACATTCTATGCCTATAATACATAAGGGTAGACACAAAATTGGCATGAATACCGTGAACAGGAAATATTTTTGTGTAGGAATAGTTAAAACGTTTTTGTTCTCTCTGTACTATATGCAGACAGCTAATTACCATTTTGACAGACTTGTCCTGTTGTGTCGTTTTGTTTCTTGAAAATAAAAAACGTACCATCGAAAAAAATGGGCACCAAAGGTCGGTGTTTCAACAACGATTAAATTTAAGGTGACAAAGAAGTACTTACCATCTGAGAACTTCCGGCGCAAACTCCTCCTCAATGACTGAAATTTTGTGATGGCTGCCGGTTTAGACTTGGTAGAAAGGTCCCGCGTATCAGTGATGGTTGTGTGTGATTCCGAGTGGACACCTGGACTCGACGGAGTCACACAATCTTTCACCTCCATAGACTCCTCCCGACGGACCAGAATATCCCCATGACGTGTCTGGGTCACGTGTGACGTACAATGGCCATTTTCGTCCATGACCACAACACTATCTTCCTTTATATTTTGTTTATCCTTACGATACCTTTTGGTCTTCTTTTTTGGTGACTTTTGGGCTTTTGCTTTCTTACTCTTTTCTTCGTCACTTTTCTTTTGTTTAGTAAATGTCAGTAAAATTCTTTCCTTTGCTCGTTGAAAAGCACTCTTCTTTTTCCTATCAATAGTGTTGATACTGACATCATCCTCTCCATCAGAATCATTGGACGCTACACTCCCAGATCTCTGAATTTGATGTGTTGATTTTTCATTGTAATTTTCAGTTTTGTTGTTATTATTGTTGTTCATCTGAGCTTCCGAAGCTTTTCTCTTCCTTAGACTTGCTCTCCTCAGTGTTGCTGACTCCGGGGGCAGTGTCTTATACTTTCGTTTATCGTAATCCTCTTTCTTGAAAATTCTTTCCTGTGTAATTTGAAATGGCGAGGGTGCCATGTCATCAATATTGTCATATACTGAAAGTCTGTGAGTTGCCTTACGGTAACTGTTGGTTCGTTTAAACTGTTGCTGGTCCTCAACCTGTAATGAATTTTTATCAGCGTCAGTAGTAGTGGTAGTCGTGGTGCTCTCCAGCACGTGCTGAACTCCCGTTGTGACGTCACGTTCCGACGGAAGAGTTTTGAGCTTTTGTTGATACATGAAGTAATCAAAAAGTTGTTCTGTGTCGCTCTTCCTTAGAGGTATGGTCTGTCTCCTCCCATTTCTCTTTATCCCTGTGGCAGACATGATGGCTGAAGTGTAATAATCTATATCTGTAAACAAATAGATGTTGATTATTGTTTGGCAGTGTCTAGAGGATGATACATATCTAAGTAATACGGTGCAAAATCTGCATGTGTACTACAGAAATGTATATATACTTTGTGTCAAGTATTGTATATACACAGTACACAAAAAGGTCTTTGTTCTCATATAACAATGCATGTATCGTTAGATACAACAGAAATAGTTTTCATCTTCAGATCCACGGGTACATACTTCATTAATTCGTATAATATAGCCTGAAATATAAACATACCACATTTTCTCCTGTGTAGAGAAGTACTGATATATCGGTCATGTAAAGTGAAGGACGTGGTACCGCGTTGGACAGGAAATAACATGCTGGCATAGACACTTGTTTAATAGGACATAAATACTATACACGGTTTCTGAATCATAACGATATAACTTTAATATGACGTTTAATTATAGATAATAAAGTATATAAATAGAACGTGTCTCTATACTGGATATACATCGTATTATTCTATATCACAAGTATATCAAGTTCAGCTTTACTCATTAAAGTAGTCACGTCTTCCGTTCAACGCCTCTCCAATCGAAACATGAATAAAACCAAATAAATAATGAAAATAATCATTTAGTCATCAAACGGTGAGATTTTAACTGAAATAAAATACAATTCATAATAGCTACAAACAAAATGTAACTGAAAAGACATCGCTAGCCTAGGCAGTGTTGTCATGAAATGAAAAAAAAAACAAAAACAAAAACAAAAACAAAAACAAAAAATACAACAAAACAAAAACAACCCTCAAGAATATCTCCCACAAACAGCATCTCTTGTCTTCATCTGACTGATAATACCACAGCACAAAATGTGTTACTGTAATAATGCGTTATATTATAAAAATATTACTAACTAGTAAAATTAAAATGTGAAAAATCACATTTAAATATACCGAGTGTGTCACGTTTCAGTAATCTACAACTTCCAAACATATTCTTTGTAGCTAATATCTTAAGTATACTGCTTCCGCTGAGTTAACCGTTCGGTTGTAATATGATTCTGTACAAGTATGTGTAAGATTTATCAACTCACATAATATATCCGATGTTACAATGCTCTAGAATTCCAGTAAAGTTTAACACTTTAGTCTGTATGTTGCTATCAACTTGTCACCTTGACGGTCTTAATCCTTCTGTGCAGATCCTTTAGTATCCGGGCAGTTTTATCAATATTTATCCACAAGTTACCCTGGGTATTCCATAGGGGTGGATCCAGAATAATCAACAATGATATTCAAGTTAGTGACGTACACACGGAATGAGTAATTCAGCTACTCTGTGTCAATTTATAGTAACCGCGGTTTTAGTAGTTGTGGTTAAGGCTGATACTACTACAGCTACCGCTACTACACTACTACTGTATTAAAAACAACTCTTACCTGGATAATGGAGTTCTGTTACATTATATAGCAATGTAATTCGGTGTGGAATTTCCCTTCGAGCTGGTCAGCTGACTTGGGCTGTGTTTGTTATGTATATTTATAGTAAATACATTCACTTCGTCATATAGCACTTCCTGGTAGTTACCTGTGTGTCGTCATTTATAATCGAACGCTCACCTGTGGAAAGGCGAACTGTGGTTAGTGTACAATACCTTGTACTTCATGTGACTGACGAAAATTCATACCTTATTGCATGGGTCCTATTATATATAGGATAATTGATTAGTACATAAAAGTCTTGATGAATGTGATTTTATTAAACGTTTTGTGCATTTTTCCGATATTGAATTCAAATGTTTACATTGTCTCATAACTCTAACAAGTTAAGACGTGTGCATGACCGATGTACCTTTATGTTTTTAAAATGTGTGACAATTTCGTTTATCTTATACATTATACATATATATTACAATTACCACATTTTATAAGTCGGACCACATCATAAAAAAGCGTTCATGTACTTTAAATTTGCCCAGTAAATTCATTTAAAAAACGAAGACGGTACTTTTAAAAACTGGTCAATGATATATTACAAAATTTACTTTCAAATGAGTAGTCAACAGTAACGTTATGCTGTTTAATGGTTGTACATGGAAGAGATAGATACGTGACAAAGAATATAATTACATTGATAAGTTGTTATGGACCCGCTTCTATCCTGATATAAAATAGTCCGCTCGTTATTTACGCGTATCATCGCGTGTTTCTTACACACATAATGCGCTAATGGATGTGAGAATTGTGCCAAGCCTACACCTTAGTTCCAGAATATCTAAATCCTGTGTCCGTTGACAATACTGTGTTATCAGGTAAACACATATGGGAAGGGAGGAATTTTGTTTCACTGTCTCACCTTTTAGCAGTATTTAACAACTCAACTCTAAGGTCTATTACATTTGATAATATTTTACAACATTATACGAAGACCTTCTATTTATTTATTTATTTATTTATTTATTTAAAGATGAGCTAGTAGTCGGATATAAGATCAGATACATACATATCGGACATCGGACATCAGTACTCCAAGTTTGAGATGTTTTTAGTATTTAGAACAAACTAGAAAAAGAAACGGAGAAAAGCACGGACATATAAAGTTTCAAGATCCGCGGGAAAAGTGATAAGTAAAAACAATTTAAACACCTAAAACTAGTTCTTTTCTTCTTAAAGCAACAACTGCATTTCTCTGAAATTTGAAATACTCTTGGACGTATTCTTGGTTTGGTGGATATGACCTTCCTCTGGAGCCCTTTGGAAAATTTGAATTCTTTAAATGACAGCAAGTTTCATAAACCAGGACTCAGTCTGTCCGACTTCAGGGCGCGATTTTATTTTCATATATGTGTGTTTTTTCATCAAACGTTAGGTATGTTGTTTGTATCAGGAGAGACCGCTCTACATGAAGTTATCTAAACTCTCTCTCTCTCTCTCTCTCTCTCTCTCTCTCTCTCTCTCTCTCTCTCTCTCTCTCTCTCTCTCTCTCTCTCTCTCTCTCTCTCTCTCTCTCTCTCTCTCTCTCTCTCTCTCTCTCTCTCTCTCTCTCTCTCTCGTTTTTTTTGTATATTATAATTGTATTTAAACATGTCGTCTTGTCTTGTTAATATGTATTTTGTAAAATTTTATAGGAAAGGGCTTTATATAAGTTAGAAAACTTGTGCCCAATCCTTCTTGTATACTTTGTACAAATAAAATATGTTTAAATCAAATATGTTTTTCAGTATCTATATGTACAAATGTGATCGTATGACATGATAACACTTAAATGATGTGAATGCCACAGAAAGTCTATGGACACGATATTGTGTACGTGTAAAAACAAGTACAGTGATATCATCTCCGATCGAATACGCCTATTTTACATGATTCTTTCCTCCAAGTCAGGAGAGTTCTAATAAAAAGTATGGCTGGAAGGGTACCGAGACTGTTGTAAGTTATCAGGTGTTATAACTGAGTCTTTTAAGTTTTTATTGTCTTTAAAACCCGAAATACTATTTAAACATTTCATTGTTTCTTGACGATATGAGTAACCATATGTTTGATACACGCATAGGTAATTACAACTTTAACAAATAAACGAAAAAGAAATGCCAGTGGACATGTCAAACCCCTTGTAAAAAGATTCTGTTTCCTTTAAATCGTGATAATTTCGACGTTAAACTAAATCACTTTTCATTCAGTAGATAAATAATTTTCATCGAGATCGCGAACAATGCATTTTCGCTGTACTGATATTGCAGGCATCGGTTTAGGGACAATACATGGGAAGTAATTCGATTTAATCAGATGAAGGCCAAGTCTGAAAAGAGTGTTACCTTAACATTGATTAAAAAGAGGAAACGGACCGAAATAATGAATAATACAGTATAATTTACCTAGGCATACATACAGTGTATTCACTTTCATATGGAAATAAAAAAAAGTTCCGCATTGATATAAAAAGAAAGATTATAGATTGATTGATTTTTATGCTTTATTTTCGTCGGCATTTTTTGAAATGTTTATTTACTTTATGGGTTTTACGTTCAATATTATAGTCTTCCTTTGCTTTCAGTGGACGAGTATTGTGGTGTCCTTAGAGTTCTTTTATAAAATTGTATACAAAACTGCTTATCTGGTGCTTGAATATCTGCATAGTCAAAATATCTTATTCCAGATGAGTAAAAATATATTTTCTTGTTCACATGAATTGGATGTTTTATATATGAAATATCATATATATATATAACTCCTGTGAAAGAAAAGGGAAAACACTAAACATGCTCCAGCTGATTGCCCTGAACAGGAATTTAACTGGGGTCTCCAGTGATCAGCTATACACATTCCAACTGAGTCAAAAAGGCATGCTCCATCATCTGAGTGACAGAGACAATAATTAACACTATATATATGTAAAAACCACACTGACCCACTCCCTTTAAATTAAATGTATCAAATGTCTACTACATATCAATGAATGAAGTCATAACTTGTCGTAACTAAAGGGTTTGTAGTAATTTCATATAAGGGAAAATAACTTTAATCTTGATCATGAAGCTACTTTCTTTATAAATTTTTGTTTCAAGAGACTGGTAGACTACTTCTACTGGAGTACTGTTTACAGTTAAATGACCATACAATTATCATTGGTTGTGCATATGAGAAAGGAGCTCGAGGCAACTCTGGATCATGTACCATTTTGTAGTCATTGGAAGAGTTACATAAGGGAGCCCGAGATCTGCACTTTTATTTTAGATAAATTATTCAATACCAACACATGGACAGCAATACTCATAGAAAAAATCATAGGAAAGATTTTGTAACTTAAAGTTTAATGATCTTTCTTTTTTTCAGGCCTCTGTGGAAGCGAGCTATACCGAAGTATCCTCTTTATCTTGAAGGTCGACCACAAAATCGTGTGTTTCTATGTCAATTCTGGATGAAATTGATCCCGGATAGAACATTTGAGCTACCAAATGACAGAGTTCATTTTGAGATACATCCTCAGTGAGTTTTATCATTCATATACAACATTTCCTTTTATATATACATGATATGTTCCTCAATTTTTACTAACAGATTTAATTCAATTGTCATTTGATTCATTACTTCACATTGCATAGTTTTAATTTAGTTATAGTTCTAGCATCTTCAGTGATGTTTCCAATTTTGATGGATATGGCCTTGTGATTTCCAGAATCAGTTTTGTGTAGATATGTGCCAATCTTTTGTGAATATAGAATCCATAAGTTGTTCAATATAAAATTTTACTTGGTAAAAGCACTATTCCATTCACTTTTATATCGTTTATAATATCAAATATAATTTATTACATTTTTTATTTACTTGGAAGTGAAACCTTTCACTTGATGAATTTAAAGGCAATGTTACAGTAAGATGTGTGTTTTATGTCAAATAACTAATCTAACACTTTAGATCTGCAACTTAAATCACTGATCTTTTAAAACATGTTGATAACATATATTATGGTGTGATATTTGTTGAACTAACTGATGGTTATAAACAAGCAATTTTATCTTGAGCAAATTTTTTATGCCATGTTTAAAAAATTACAACTATTAAATTGACATGGCCAACTGATGATAGATTTAGGCATAGGAGCAAATTGACTTTTTTAAACATTTGGAACTAGGTGTTACTACCAATAAATAATTCTAGCTTTCTGATAGATGAAAATATTCCAATGATTTATCAGTGACCCCTAGCAGCAGTAGTATGCTATAAACAATGCTACCATCTTTCAAAACAGTGTCATACATGCATACTGTCGCTATGAGACAATCAACTATTATACTGAAAACTTACAAAAATGGACAGACTATCGCTAAATGTCATGAAAATTTTCAGATTGATATTTACGTGAATCATGAACTAACATTGTTATGGTTTGCAGAGGATTCTCTGATGTAGGTAGCAACATCATAGATATGATCACACTACACCTTTTTATTAGGTTTCATGTTGATATTTGTAGAATTGATTGAGTAATGGAACGTTAAATTTTCCCTGATCACTGGCTGCACTATACATTGTTTATCATGCTCAATTGTACACGTATATTTAAAGAAGTGAAATAAGTGACAACAACAGATATGTACTTAATACAATTATGAAACATTCATATACAATGTTTACCAGTTTCATATATGTAAAATGAGTTATGATGATTTTACTCTAGCGAGAACAACATCTTGGCACATATTATAGGCTTTATACAAATATCAGGTGTAATTGTGATTCATCTTCAGACGCTTTTGCTTAAAGTACTCAAAGAAGTTAGAGACATCAAACGATGTATTGTTAATATGATTACAATACATCCTTGTACTGAGCTTCATATTGATATTTGTAAAATTTGTTGATATGCGGAGAGATAAATTTTCTTCAGACGCTGATGGTACACATGTACATGTATTGACTTGTGAGCAGCATCAGAACAAAATTAATGACAAGAAAGAATTCATCCCATAATTGTTTTATGACTTTTATCAGAGAGATATTTAATAATCATATATAACACATACACTTTTCTGGTTTTAATAGGATTTAATAAGAAATCAAGTCAATTACAAGTAAGAATTAAGCATCTCTCATTTTATATTCCTTGTCACAAAATAGTATGCACAAACCAGGTAATTATGATCTCTGTGAGTTGTCATGCCAGCTGACAAAAACTTAGGCCCAACTCTACATTGCAAGCATTTGGTATGTGAAGCGCAGAATGTATTTTGTCAAAGAGCAATGGTCCTTCCCTACACGTTTTGGTAAGATAATTGCACAAAGACTCTCCTTATTATGATGAAAAAGTCTCAATATATGGTAACTCACAGATATGCTTTGTAAACACCAATGAGATAGATTTTAATAAATAACAAGTCTGAGGTAATAAGACTTACAATGTAATGCAGACTCCACATCCTAATACAGCAACACTAACTTTTGGCGATACAAAAACATGGCTTCTCCATTGTGATATCTAATGTGAAAAATAGAGTGAATCCTGCCTTTTCTTAACAGTTGAAAATATAAATGTTTCAAAAGGTAGTCATACATAATCTACATTTTGCTTTGATATATACATTAATAATTTTTATGTATTTTTGTTGTTCATAAATTTATGCATACCAGCTTATCCTAAAAATCAGTTATGCAACCTAGAAAAATCTTTGAACTTTTTACCAAAAGAAAAAGAGAGAAAAATAATGTGCCTGCTCCCCACTTTGGACCTTTAATTTTTCAGGAAAAATTGACTACTTGATGCACTGGTTTTCATGGTAGCAAAATAAATTATTTATGATCTGTTGTATAGCTCTTGGGTCAATTAATACCAATGTAAGTGTCTATCTATTGATTTTAAGATGTAAATTGTTTTCATGAATTGTACATTTTGCACAAATTTCACTGATTGGATGAACAATGTATTCCAAATTCCAAATATTGTTGTTGATTGTTATCTTCTTCGAAAGCGTATGATTGTTTTGAATGTAATCTCACATTAATATATATTATTAACATGTTTAGCTTTTCAGTAACTTTGATTTGATAAATATATAGGAACCAGTGTAATTTATACATGCATGTATGTTTTCTTTTTCTGATATTTTTATGTTCGATTAAATTTGTTTTAGCTTCATATATGGCAATATTACATTTGTATAGTTTCCACATCGCATATTGATTTGGACTTCCTGTACATATTTAGAAATCCAGATGCAATTTTCTGAATTAATACTTTTGTTTCATTTCCAGAATGAGTATATTGGATGTTAAACAATACCTGGAAAAGATTTATAATGTAGATGTATTGAAAGTGAGAACATATCGCAAATCAGGTGAGTTCGTAATCAATTTGTTAATTTTGTGTTTTTAGCCAACCATCATCAGGTGGTTGGCTATTCAAATGGCCTTATGTGCGTGGTCCCTCCATCTCTCTGTGAACAATATCTGTTATTGCTATTTCTTGAGAAGTGCTGCATAGATCTTTCTCAAACTTCATATATAGGTTTCCTGTAGTCCCTTGTTGTGGTTGTTTGATTTTGGGACTGATAAAAAAAACAAAGTGGTGGTCGGGTGGCGCAGTGGTAACATACTCGCCTTTCACCTAGCCGAACGGGGTTCGATTCCTGGAACGGACATGAAAAGGTAAGGGGTCACCTGTCCGACCACGGGTGTTTCCCCGGGTACTGCGGTTTCCTCTCACCAAAAGACCCCTTGAGCGCTTACATCCGGGCCAACAAGAGTGCTCAGTATAAGTTGACATACCTTGTTTTGCAATTGTTGTAAAATAAATAAAGTTTATATATATATAAAAACAAAGTGGCCGACAGACAGCCATCTTGGATTTTGACTAGTAAAGTTTGTTATTGCTATTTATTGAGAACTACTGCATATATCTTTCATACCTAAGCTTCCTCTGGCCCTTTCGATTTTGAGACTGATCTGTAAAAGAAAATGATTGACAGGAGGCCATCTTCGATTTCAATAATGAAAGTGTGTTATCTGCATAACTTATGCATAGATCTCTTTCAAATTTCATATGTAAGTTCCCTTTGGTACCTAGTTGATTTAGGGGCTGATCAGAAAACAAAGTGGATGACAGACAGCCATTTAGATTTTGCCTCTGATAGTTTGTTTTCACTATTTCTTAAGAGTTCTGATAGATCTCTCTCAAATTTTATGTTTAGGTTTCCCTTTGTCTTTCGTTGTGCCTATTTGATTTTGGAACTGACCAGGAAAAACTAAATGATCAAAAGATGGCAATTTATGGTGGTTAGTCAGGGCAAACAATCAGTGGATATACCTTGACTATGAGACGGAAATATACTATATACTACAATCCAGTATCTGGTTATCCAAACATTATGGGGAGACAACTCCAAATTGACTCCAGGTTAACAGATTAATACTGATACAACACATAATGGTGACATGCTTGAAATGTGGCATTTTGATTTGAATTTTTTGGATTTAAAGGTGTATGTTTAGCTCATCATCACTTCTTTTGTTGCATTATCAGGATACGTCTTTAAAGAGGATTCAATAGAAATGGAACAACAACAGAAAGGCAGGATACCTCCAGTAAAAGTTGCTTGTGTTCAATTGGTAAGATTTACTGCTTACTCAATAACACTATATTTCCTTGAATTGCATCTATTAGAACCTATGTTTTGTTTTCTTTAAGCATTTTTTCAGCTCATAATCCTGGTGATAGGGGGAGATAGGATTAGCCTATAATGGACCTGGAGCGGAAAATAGGATCAGCTCATATTCCTGGTGGTAGGGAAAGTTAGGATCAGCCCGCAATCCTGGTGGTAGGGGGAGATAGGATAATTCCTTAATCATGGTGATAGGTCGAGATAGTTTCAGCCCATAATCCTTATGGTAGGGGAGATAGGATCAGCTTATATTCCCCTGCTGGTAGGGAAAAATAGGATCAGCTTATAATTCTGTCGGTAGGAAGGATAGGATCAGCCCATAATCCTGATGATAGGGGAGGTCAGATCAGGATATCATCCAGGTTGAGGGGGAAAATAGGATTAGTCCATAATCCTGGTGAAAGGGGAGTAAGGATTAGCCAAAAATCCTTGTTTTAAGGGAAGACAGGATCAGCCTATAATTCCAGTGGTAGGGAGAAATAGGTTCAGATCATAATCATGGGGGTAGGAGGAAGTAGGATTATTCCATAATCATGGTGAATAGTTGAGATACATGTAGTTTCAGTTTGAAATCTCAGAGGTAGTAGGAGATAGGATCAACATGAATTCATATGGTAAGAGTAGGTTGCATCACACTATAATCCTGGTAGATGGAGTTAGGGACAGCTGTTAATCCTGGTGGTAGGGCGAGAGAGGATCAGGCTATAATTCATGTGGTAAGGGGAGATAGGTTCAGCTCATTATCCTAGTTGCAGGGAAAGATAGGTTCAGCCCTTAATGCTGGTGGTAGGGGGAGGTAGGATCAGTCTATTATCCTGGTGATGGTGGGATAGGATAAACCCATAAACCTGGTGGCAGGAGATAGGTTCAGCCCATAATTCTGGTGGTAGGAGGATCGGTGGGATCAAAAATCTTTAACAATAGACATTTTCAACTTCCTTAGATTTGAGATAAATGTTTTTAACTCTTTTCTTATTTATTTGAAAGCTGGATGGACATAATTGTATATTTTTCACAGATACACATGATGAAATCACTCAAAAACCTGTGATTATGATAATATCAACATATGGTCATGTCTTCTCCTATAACAATTGTATCAAGTTTTGAGTCAGTGAATTTTCATTTTTCCAGGGAGGAGAACATAGGTTTACATTTCCAGACTTGTTTTCAAAAAAATCAATGGGAGAGCAAGATAACAATATGAAGGATCTTAACGAGAAACTGGATTTAGCAAAGAACTGGGAACGACCAAGTTTACCGCCCTGGTTCTCTTAGCTAGAAACGTGCTTACAATAATATGAATATTGAATTTATACATTTTGAATGACTTTGATAATTTTATTTGCATGGAGAATAAATATGTTTTCGAAGAATTTACCATTTCTTTCTTTTTCTTTTTCATTTTTCTTCCCTATGGTCCAGACATTATAATTGATTCTGGCATTATTACATATACTACACTAGAGAGACCAGTCATAATATGATATGCGATATACTTTTTACCATCTTCACTTTTTACAAAGTTTCATTTGTAAAATTAATTGAGTAATGTAGTTAATTTTCCCTCGATCGGCAGCGGCACTGTACATTGTGTATCACATTCTACTAAGCGTTTTCAATTATATATCTTAAATTACTGAATAAATTTAGTGACATATATGATATGTGTTAAATATGATTATAATACATTTATGTAGGAAGTTGCAGTTACATTTATGAAAAATGACCAAGTTACTTTTGCCTGAAATACTCATTTTAACAATACATCAAATAAGATATTTACTGTGTCAAATGGACATTATTTAAACTAACATATAGAAAAGTTCTATGATCACATTCAACTTCTCTTTTAAATCAATTTCAAACTGTATAATATCAGGCGAATCTATTCTATCCTGTTCCATATGTCAACAACATGGAAAGAAAAGAAATTTTCTGAATATCAAGATGACAGTTTGTGTGAAATGCTCTCTTGATGCAGTGAAACAATCTTAAACACATTTATTAGGTCTCCTTGCATGCTTCGGTGCCTCAAGTTTAGTAGATTTAATCTCTGCAGACACTTTTTATACGTCTTATTTTTAAGTCATGGTATGATCTTGGTAGTTCGCCTCTGTACGTTTTTGATTTCCTTGCTCATATACGGATTCCATGCACTGGAGGCATACTCAAAGTTTGGTCTAATGAACATCTTAAGCATAAGTGTGAAAACATTATCATTCAGATTTGTGAATGTTCTCCTTGTTCCTCTTGAGTTTATTCTTCCTGAACTTCTAGATTTCCATATCTCCCAGTTCAGCTGATTTTGAATCTGTGTATGCTCTTTAAATAGTTCCTCGCTTTCCATATGTCTTTGCCATGTCCATTCTGACATTAGTAATTATTTAATTGTAAAACTCAGATATGCTTCATAAACACCAATGAGATAGATTTTAAAAGATAATAATTCTGTAGTAATAAGACCTACATTATGCAGACCTATGCGTGCTAATATGTCATCGCTAACTTCCCCCAATACACAAACAGACAAGTGCACATGACTTCTCTGTTGTGGTATCCAACGTGAAAGTGCGTAAAATGGACCTTGCCATTTCCTAACAGTCAAACATTGCTATTTCTTGAGAAGTACTGGATGAATCTTTCTTAAATTTCATATATAGGTTTCCTTTGATCCCTAGTTGTGCTTGTTTGATTTTAGGTCTTCTCAGAAAGAGAAAATAGCTTACAGTCGACCATCTTTGATTTTGACTTCGAAAGTTTGTTATGCTATTTCTTGCAAATTACTGCAGATATCTTTCTAAAATTTTATGGAAAGGTTCCTCTTGGTCCCTAGTTGAGCTTTTTTTATCAGAAAAACAAAATGGCCAACAGGCAGCCATCTTGGATTTGTGCCCGTTTGATTTTGGTACTGATCAGAAGAAAGAAATGGTTTCCAAGAGGTCATAATGGATTTGGCAGGTAAAGATTATCATCTTTATTTCTGTAAAGTGATGTTCAAATTTCTTATCATTGAGAGCAAAAACAAAGAAGAGAAAAGATCCAACTTTCAAAGAGCTAATAAAGTCAAGAATTGTGGGCAACAAGATCCCTCTGGGATATCTTGTTTCTTACTTCAGTGCCTGTGATACTCCAATGTACATGATTTATAGGAAAACAAAATTTCAATGGTTTCAGAGATGGTTAGCTGTTGGCACCCGTACTGCTTGATAAAGGATGTGCATGGCCAAAATTCTGGCAAAAATTGACAAAACATAATGGTGCTTATGGAAACACAAGAACTTGCAGATCCAATCATGGACTCATTCAAGATACCTGCTAATTCTGAGATAACTGGTTATTTCAGTTTGTTACTTTGCACTTTGCATCCATGCTTATGACAAATACTTATCATTTTGGATATAATTAGCCAATATTGCACTCTAATACATCAGTGACCTTTGACCCTTTGACCTCCAAAGTTAATCAGAAGTGAAGCTTGGATCCATGCATTAAATATTCTCAAACATATACAAAATACTAACAATTTCCATGATAATTAGAACAAGGGCTGTTCCACTTTGCAGCATCAAGGGTCATAACTTTGTTAAAACTTGATGGAACCTAACAAAGGAGACACAACTATGTGTCCTTTAGCATGTGTGCAAAGCATTGTTAAAATCCATTCATAATCCTAGGATGGATATGTAGTACAAAATTGTGTCTACAGACAGGCAGACTGACAGACAAATGAACATGCCTATCTCCTCTATACCCTACTCCGCTCTCCTATTAACTTTGTTATATAAATATGGTGTAAATATCATGATACTAGATGATATGAACACAAACAAAAGGAAATACGTCAAATGCTTTATTATTTCTGAAAACAATAATTCAGACTGATTTCATATAATAAATGGTATCAGGAAAAACAAATTGTTTTATTATACAGCAAACTGATCAAAAAAGATTTTAAAAAAATTAAGATATGCCTATGCACCACATTGACTAAATGAACATGTCTTTTCACTTCCATGATAAGGGGTAGGGGGTGTAGTCATAGCAAGATCTTGTTTTAATATTCAAAACATTTCAATATTTCAACAGTAAAATCCAGTATGTGAACATCGTTAATATTTAGGGGTTACTGTTAGACTCTGTACCCCTGGAATATTTCATGGCAAAATTGAAGATTCCACGTGTGAAACCTAGTGTATCAGAAGAGAAGACTGGTTTAATCCTTTGATGTACATCAAACAATTCTAGAGGTGGAAAATGGAATGCTGTACTGATTATTTGCAGACAATATCAAACAATGTATCTGATTGTATCTGTATGATTGACCTCCTGTTACACACTTATGGTGTGTCTGGAGTGATTAATAAAACTTGAAAACTTGAAACTTGTACTGACTTTGGGGTTGGGTATTTTCCCTTTGCAGTCTTCAGAAGAGTGTGTCAGTCTGTGATTGGTCAGTTTTTTTCTCCTGATACCCATTCTAGACCAAACAAATTACTTTGCTTGTGCCTTCAATTTTGCCAGGAAATATTCTAGGGGTGCAGAGTGTGAACTTGATTGAAACCCCTGGAGTACCGAGGATGGTGTGTAAAAAGCAGAATCAAATACTACTTATCCAAAAATAAATAAAAGTCAGCTAAAGAACTGAGCTACAAATATTACAGCAAGAAGATATTGGTTATGGAATTAAATGACGTGAAAGACACACGAGCTACAGAACATTATAAATGAAGGATGAAAATTATCAGCAGAAGGGTGCCTTAAAGCATAAACTACAGGAGAATTAAGTTTTACAAAATCAGATACAACTTCAGTATATATCTAGAAAAGCAAAATCCACTGAGTCAGTAAATACCTTCCAACCTTTCTGTTATTCACAGGAAGCCCAGATCATAGACCATACCTGTGCTCTCATGATTGTGTTCTTAGGCAGGACACTTTATCTGCTCTGGATAATAAAGCGCTTAATTTTCTCATTTTTTTTTTCAGTATCACATTAATGTATAGATATAACATGTTAAACTGAAATTAATTTTCACTCTTAATAAAATCCCTATCATTTCACATGATATCAGCTTCCAGCATGTTAGATAGCATTGGTAAATATAGATAAAGTTTTCTGAAACAGGCTATAGTCTTTTTAACTTTAAAAATTTGGCAAATTGAGATACAGCTCATGTGACCCGGCTTCACTTTACCTGACACAAATCACATGTTACAGATAGTACTGTAATACATGTAATATGTGTTGTACTAATATGGAGATTTATCATCATTAAACTGATACAACTTTCAATTGAGTAATAACATACATGAACTGGCAAATATTATTGTGAATGAAATTGTTTTATTGGAGTCAAGGACCTGTCAGGATGGTTATCACTAGTGATTAGATTAGGTTTACATCAAGCTCTTTTGTTTTTACCATGAAAGTTAACATATGATATGTAGAGAAGGTAGTATATGTACAGTCAATGCATGGTCCCCTTCAAGACAGATAATTTTGAGACAAATTTAAAAAAACTCTTAAAATCCCCCTCCCCCCAAAAATATTATAAAAAAATGTTAAGAAAAAGCAGTAATGTTAATGAAACATGTACATCTAAAGGTGGGGTTTCCAGCAATGCTAATTTCCCATTGAGGTCTGCCTGAAGATCTTTTTCACCCTTCAAGAACACTCACTGATACATTGCTTTGTGCCATCAAAGTTGATTCTCTTGGCTTTACATTAAATCAAAATTAATAAACACTTGCAAAATGAACTAATAATGTAACTAAATTACTTAACTATGAACGGCGATTGTAATAAAACAAACAAAAAAAATATTATGTTAATGAAATAGGAAAGTTTGAACCATAAACTAAATCCAATATCAAGACAATAATTATGCAGCCGATATTCTTCATTTTTATGTGTTTAGTGGGGAAAATGTCAATTTTTTGTGAACAAATGACATTTTGTATATCTTCCATATTCAGTCCATTCAAAATTATTGAGCATATAGATAGCTTTATCTCTTACCCAAACCCTTCCAAAAGATAAAAAATTCAGCATTTGTGTAAAGTGTTGAAGCCCTAATGACTTGTTGAACAATAGTGTACATAGAAGACACCCTGTTACACTACAAACCTCAATGTACACATGTCAATTATAATTAGATGTTAAATACAATATATTACATGATCGATAGTTACTCCACAAATCTACCAACAATATATTATATATACCCCAATATCATCAATTGTTCTTTTGACATTACTTTCTACATTTTCTACCAAGACAGAGACTTGAAATACCTTATACAGTACCATTCTCAAAATGACAGGTAGATGTGTAGGTGAAGGTTGTAAAGTTGTCTTCAGGAGAGACATTAAAACCAAGAAATCTGCTAGAAATATAAGACTTCCCCAGTACAACTGGTTGTTTGATGTTATAAAAGCAGATGGCGATATTTTAAGAATTATCAGAAAAGAAGGCCACAACCTGATAGTCAAAACATTGGTGTTGATAAAGATATGTGGCAAAACATCCCATTATTATCCACAGAGGATCTATTTTATGGCCAGTCTCCCCATGCGAAATGAACACTATGTATGAAGAGTTTCAATCAAAAACTCGACTATATTGCCCAAGTGTGCAAAACACCAACTCATCTTTCATCCCAAGCTGTTGTGTCCTAGGTCCTCATGTACTTGTTCATATCATCTCATAGAGAAAGACCTTAACCCTAACATTGAAGTCTGCACTGATGAAAGAGAAATACTGACTTCCCAGCTACCTACTAGAACAAAGGAAAGCATCAATGATCTTTTGGAGATATCACATAAGCTATCAAAGCAGGAGTCTTTTTCTCAGCGTTTCTCCCCTGTGGATGATGCAGATAGTAAAGTATAGACTGGCTGGACAAGAGCACAGTTTCTGAAAATTCTTTGTTATTGTCTATTCTCTATTAGCACTGGTATTTACACTCCCAACCACAAGGATACACTATTGTTGTTTTAAGTAAAACTGAAGATGGACATATCAAGGAAACAGTGTTCAACTCTTTTTACTTCGAGCACAACAATATGTTCTCGGAAGCATTTCTTGGCCAGTGGATAACTGTCACACTTGAAGGTACATATATCTTTATGCCTAAAATTTCTGATCGCAAGATGCAGAGAATATCCTACTGTGGCCATAATAAGCAGAGCTATTTGAAGTTCAAGGCATAGCCCTTCCTGATCATTACATTCTGGATACAGTAGGACCTTTTCCTGGAAGTGATAATGATGCGAAGATTATAAAAGCCATCATGGATTGTCTCTCCTGGTTTAAGAAAGATAAAAACGGTGGGGTGGTACTCATATGGTACTCATATTTGGGTTCAAAAATTCAAAAGTGATGTGCTAAATCAGCATTTACTGACTTCAAATCTGTTATTTGTGGTAATAATTCAAACAAAATAAGTGAAAAGCTTCCAGAGTAATGCAGAAGAGAAGTATCCTTTCAACAGAAAATGTCAATATTGCTGTTTAAATAAAATCATGATGACAACTATGCGGTAAAAAAATGTAGTCCAAAAAAAAATTCCACAAAATGTCTTTTGGTAAAAAGTACAACTATTGGTAATGAAATATGTGTATATCAAAAACGCAAAAGTCTAATATTATATTAGAATTTATTTTACTATAAATTATGTCCTACTTTCAGTCAAACATGAGTTTCATACATCCTTAATAACAAGAGTACCATGAGGCAGAACAATATAAGCCTGTCCCATGCCTAAGAAAATTTGATTTACAACACAACTTCAGGTCATGGCAATTAAGCCATACCTATTTCAAAATAAATCACTGAGTACTGAGACTAGAGATATTTGAACAAGATAAACATTATGAAAACAATAAAAGGGCATTACTCTGAAAATACAGGGTTACATGTCAAACCCATAATATATGTTAGATCACTTAGATTCTTGTACCACAGTTAATTTAGTATTAGAGAGCTTGACTTTCCAAGTAATGCCTATAATTGCCAACAGAAGGGACATAACTGCTAAGAATAATTGCAAAATTCTTTTAGTGTGGAACATTTGTGGGAAATTTCATTAAAATCAGCCTATAAATAAAGGTAAGAGAGCACTAACAAAGCAAAGTTAAGAGACGGACAAACAGATACTGCAGCTTAGATTTAGATAATACGACCCATTCTTGACGGGTGTATCAAAAAGTGCTCAAAAACATTTCAATATCTAAAAATGTTACCGTAGTTGCTACAATTGGTTAAAGGAATATTCCACACCATTATGGATTTCATAGCATGCTTTTGACAAAAACTGTTAAAAATCATCTACTTAATGTTCTTACGGAAATTGTACACCTCAAATTACCATTTAAACAAACATCTATAATTTAATTTGCAGAAATTCTTTATAGATCTAGCTAGATCTATTTACAAATGTTTGTACAGGCCTCATTGTGTCATAACAGGTTTGCATTTTTATAAGCCAAACAGAATGAAATATTTGTTAAGGTTATAAAATCAACAGAAAATAATTCTAAAGAAGTAATAGAATTGCAAGCACAACAGAATTTTTAGTGAACAGTATACACACTGTGTATTTATCTAATACTTTGCATAAAACTTTTGACCTTTCAGTTCAGAATATCCTGACCTGCTATATTAAGAAGATATGGCTGAGAATATTCCCACCAATTTCGCCTTTCCAAACTGACAATAGGGGAGATATTTTGATGCTAACAATAGTTTTGAAAGTCATTAAAGTAAGTTTTTAAAAGGCAAAGAACAGTCAGAAATTTGCAACTTGGGTGGTAACTGATATCAAGATTTGACATACGGTTGCTTCATTTGTAACAATCACTATCATATTGATATAATTTAGTTACAAAAAAATCAGGCAGAATAAGACAGAAGTCAATCAAACTTGTCAATTAACTTAAAAACTAAAATCAGTAGATGTAGATGTAGTCAAAATAGCAATGGTCTACCAGACATATATAGATGAAATGTCGAAATTAATTCAGTGAGAAAATCATGATGGACTCTTAATTCAAATGTCAAACTCTGTTGCCAAGCACATGTCTTAGAACAGGTACCATGTTTGTTGATTTCTTGATTAGTCTGTTTTCTCCAAAGCCTTTAGTCTCTCCAACAGAGGGGGATGTGAATAACTCCATGTAGAATACAGCCAATCCACAACAGGAAAGCCCAGATTGTCTTTGTTTAGTTTTATCAATGACGATTTTAGATCTGAAGCCTTTTGCATTTTCTTGGCAAATGCATCAGCTTCAAATTCAAATTTACGGCTGAGGACTGTCATACAGAAGGATAACACCTGTAAGTAAAATAATAATATAATATTCTACCAGTAGGAACTTATCAAAATATACCATTAGAAGCTAGAAGTTCATAACCGTGCCATGTCTGTGAACAAAATGAAGTCGTTTTCTTAGAACAAGCTGAACAACACTTTATCATTTTATTTTGTTTTTTCTTTAAATTGGAAATTGCAATGCTCTGCACAATTACACAAGTACAGCCATATGTGGCATCTAAGAAATGGTAAAATTGTACTTATGAGTTACTGTGAGTGCATATTTAGCATGATATATTATAACAAAAACCTACTAGGTTTCATCCACATCACACATCAGCTGATATTAATGGAACTTCAGTACTAAAATGATGAGCACATCTTTTTTAACATTCCATAAATCAAACTTTATACAAAAAAGGAACATACTAAATATCAAGTACATACTTGAGTTTACATGTTAATTCAAACAGAATCCTAAGACACACAAAACACTGGTATGACAACTAACAGTCTATGTTAGGTTGTGAAAATTACCTCGTGATATGGAGAGAAGATAAACTGAAATATGATGAGCATCCCAATGAGGACTGGTCGACTGTCAAATCCGAAGGCTGTGTACAACACTGTCTCCTTAATCAGTAGGGCAAATATCAGAAAACACAGAAATGTGTTTACCTGCCAAGAATTTAAACATAACATGTATGAAAACTGTAGCCAATATTATTACCAGTTTTTGTAGGACATTTCAACCTAATTAAGAAATCTTTTTAAACAGGTAAAAATATTAGAAACATAATTTATTCATTACTAGCCATAGAACTTTTATATTCAATTACTGGTACCAGTATTTAAATAGCAAAAACGTATGAATATTGCTTATATACTTATGATCATGAACGAGATCTGTCCAGTGTCAGAAAAACTTATTCAAATGTTCTTTAAAATGAAAATCTGACCATTCTAGATTCTTGTCACATCTACATCTCAATTTTACCTGACTTATCACAAGATTACTAATGATATGATTCATTTTCCAGTGCCCCAACTCGTGAGCAAGTACAGCTAGAATCTCATCATTAGTACAGCCCTGTTTCTTGTGCTTTCCCTGTTTTTCTTCTTTCTCCTCTGTTTTCTCTTCAGTTTCATCTGAGTCCTGAAAATGAAAAACATAAATGTTTAAAATATGATAAAACTTCCACAGTTTTGACTGAAATGACATCCAATGATTTTCTTGGAATCCTGTAAACAAGGGGCAAATTCCAACATCTCTTTCAAAAAACAGTGCCAGCCACAATAGAAGTAAATTTATATGAGTACATTGCATAAAAAAATGAACAATATGTATGTAAAGAGTCATCCAATGTAAACATTACTTAATATGACTTCATTTCATAATAAGATTTGCTACAAGGAGTCAAAATGATTATAAAAAGTTCCAGGGATATCTTTAAAGACAGTGTACAACATGAACACTTAATGCTCTTTGATAGCTCACATTTCTCATAATAAATTTTTCATTGACATATAAAACAATTATGATTGTTTATTGATAAATGCTGAAGATTAAGTAACATAAAGAAAAATTTATGTTATGAAGAATTAAATCAGTAATATCAAAGTCACTGCATACAGAAGAATGACGTTAATTCAATTTCTGTAACTGCAATGAGTTCATAAATATTCTGACTGTGTAAATGTCACTGTAGGAAATATAGGGTCCTGTTAAAAAGTAACATAAAGAAAATGAATGCTATGTGGAAATGTTACGGGTGTTTTAACAGTTATACAATAACAGTAACACAAAAGTCACTACAACTTCTGTACATACATGTATATAAGTATTTCTCGTGTGAAAGAATTTGTATCCACGACTTGACCATTAGACTTAAAAATAAACCTTTATATCAATATCATCACATACTTCAGATTTTTCTTTCTTTTCCATCTCCTCATTATCTCTGTCTTTCTCTTCGTCTGGAGATTTGTAGCCCTCTATCAGTGTATCAAACAAAACAATCCTTTTGTTCTTGAAGAACCCATAGAAGTAGGCATTGCTGTGGGCAGATCTCTTTGAGCCTAGAAAGAAAAAATGCTGCAATTGCAAATATGCAGTGGAACACTCAAATCTATCACAGTCATCATTGTAAGAAAAGCATTTACATCAGTTCAATTTATAACAATATTCCTTGGTTTGGTTCCTAATTACTATTCTTTTCACCTCATCATGTCCATAAAGTCATTCACAGATAACTGCATATTGTTCAATATCACACATTAATATGATATCTGTCTAAACAACAGTATGCTATCAATGGAGGGAGGGATTTTCCCCACATGATGTAGGCAAGTGATTGCAGTTCTTTTTACCTTCCACAACGAAGAGCTTTGTTAAAGGGAAGTCAATGCTGGCAGCCAAGGCTTCAATCCTTGAGCGGAGTTCTCCATCAGGTAGTGGAGTAAACTTATCAAACAGTGGAGCAATATAGTCAGCATAGATTGTGATCAATAGCTGTAAATGGATAAAAAAAACATTCAAGAAAATGGAGTTTCAGTGGGTTTTGTTCTCAAGATAACTGCATCTCAATGCAAACATAAGTTATAGACCAGCCCTACTTCTACACTGTCATTATGCTTTTCTGATGGCTTAAGATGTTTGATTGTTTAAACAAGAAAGAACAATATACCCACATTTCCCACTGTGGTACAACAATTATATAGTACAACTTTTCTTTGCCATGAGTTATCTCCCTTCTGAAGTGCTTTCATTCAAAAACAAATTCAAATGGACAAATATATATTTACAGAAATATATCTTGAAACTGTATTGGTTTACAATGGTCTTTAAATATAATTTCTTTTAAATTCATGACAGCAATTAGCTTACCAAGGATATTACGAATGTAAAGATCCATGCATAGATGAAGAAATAGTCACCCCCGATCTGAATAATATAGATCAGTCCGGATACAATAGGCAGGGAGATACACTGCATCACTGTGAACTTCTTTATCTGATCCTTCACAAAAAATGCAGGTGTCTGCAAAATAAAAAAAAATATGGAAGTAAGACCAGGTTTCAGGATTTTTACCTCCGAAGGTTGTTAGGCGAGATCAATAAGTGATGAAATGTACTGTGTGATTATACTAGCTACATGTATATGTCATCATTAGAGAGCATGAACCCTTGCAATTATAAAACACCGAAGTCCTTTCATCTAGGAATAGCATGTGTATATCAATTTCAACAAACCACATGTTATTATCATAAATATTTTTTTCACCAGAGCTTCAGCAGTTTTTGATGCTCCATCTACACTTAAGAAGTCAAAATTAAAATTTTCTTAAACTTTCCAAAACAGAAAGTCATTTAAATGAAAATTTTATTAAATGAAATCTCATAAGGACCAATGCTGTACAGGAGAAAAAAAATGTAACATGTTCAATGGGCATGTATCACTCATTTATTCTAAAGCTAAAAAGAGGTTTATTTTGAAAACTTTCTTTTTTTCTAATTCCAAACATCATATTCCTTCTTTACAATTTAAATGTATGTGTTGGAGGTTAAACAACAAATAATTAAACAAAACTCAGTATCTCTTTGATTTTAAAAAAGATATTGTTTCAAGATTTTGATACATATGAACTCTGTCACCTTGAATGTTGCTCAAGATAATTTATTTGAACAAAATTAATGTGGTAGCCCTTCACCCCAGCATGACCCATGACCCCTTTTTCATTGATAGGAAATTGTGGTCAATGTCACATCCTGTGACCATGAAAATGGATTATGACCTACTGGTCAATTCTTTCTAGCATACTTGGTAGACAGTCATTCCAGTCCCAATGTCATTACTCAGAACCTCATAGCTATTGAGTAATTAGTCTTAACTCTAAACATCTTTGAGCCCTGTGATCTTGAAAATAGATCAAGGTCATTCATATGAACAAAGTTGGTAGTCCTTCATCTTAACACACTACAGACATAGATGATAGCAATATCAACCTCCTGAATCTCTAAGTTATTGAGAAGGATTTGTTTAAAGGAATTAATTGACATCAGAAGGTTGTCGGAAACCATACCACAACAAATCTTCACTTACACTTAGGCTGGTGAGCTACCTAAATATAAAGAGCAAATATGACAGAGTCCTTAGAGATAATTAATGACTTGCCTGTTTGTTGAATCCATGCTTTTCCTCTAACACAAATGTTGAGTACACTGTCCATGGAAGGGAGGTAACTGTGGAGAATATGCTGGTCATGAACAGAAAAACCAAAGACTGTAGGATCTGTGGATAAAGAAAACAGCTGCTACACAGTATGTTTTAATGTCAGAAAATGCACATTTCTGTGCTCAATTAAGAAATTCATAGTCAAACCACTTGTTTCTTCCTTCCTTGTATAATTATGCTCTTTTATACAACTAAGTAAGTCAAGAGTGTAAAAGGCACTTTTATGCATAAAGACACACATATAAGAGCAACATTGCAAGAACTTAGCAGAACCTCAACAACTGTCTCAAGATACTGGGCTGACAGCAATAAACTGATCATAAATATATCTCCTTTTAGTATGTATTTCCACGTACCTCATACTCCGCTCCATATCCAAATCTGTTTGTTATCTCTCCAGCATACCACCAAAGGAATGGAAACCCACCGAAAATCAAAATCAGCTACACCAAAGAGCAAATAATGTTTTATTAACAACAAGGTTAGCAAATACATCTTTCATCAGTCAAAGTGGGGATAAAATTAATGGATATATAGTCCGCTATATCAAAATTTCTTTATTGACAGATTGAATTTCAATGACCACAAAAATAAGAAAGTACATTAATAATTAATTCCTTTAATTCCTGTAGATAAATATGCTGTAAATATTTAGGTATGACAATTGAAAGTTCAGATCATCAGTGATCCACTGCCAAGTAGATAACAGGTTTTATAGAGACGATAAGAAAAAGAAAATATCTTACAGTGGTTTCTATTTGAGAATACACTCCTTGCCAGAAGCCAAAAGTACTTTTATCCAGCTGATAAAGGCGTGCTTTGGTGAAAGTCTCTTGATCCAACACATGTTTTAACTTATCCGGTACTGTCTCTACTGTACGAGCTAAAAATCTCTGAAAATGTAAGAAATGGAAAATTTTACACTGCAATGACTTTTAAAGATATACCTAAGATGTGATGTTGTTCAGTAAGGTAGCCATCAACTACTGAAAAAAAAAATCTCCAACTTAAAATGACCCTGCCTGGTCATCAAGTGATTAACCCAGCAAATTAAAATGCCAATTTTTTGTTATCAACGTCCCAAATCAAGATCGGTGACATTAATGATAAAATGCTGTTTGGCATATATATTATGAAATGAAAAACAAACCACCAGTAATTTTTGAGATTTAGGTATTTGACTTCTGTACTCATGCTTTTCCTGTGGGACTCAGCAAAATTTTGGGAATCCACCATGTCTCTTAACAACAGGACTCCTCAAAATTTTGAAAACAGTATTCTGGATTCACTTAGAAAATTCGACTGAAATTGCTGAACCTCAAAATTTTATGTTAATGGATAATATATTCAGTTGTAAGGTACAACCATAACTGTCTTGGTGGAAAAAGAGTTCCATTCAAAAAAGAAGTTATGAACATCCAAGGATTTGAGAGGATGCACTGGAATTAAGTCCATCGGTTAAAGCATCCTCTCGTTATAGAAGGATCAATTTTCTCCCCTGAACTCTAGACACATTAACGTACAAATTAGTCCTAAATGCTTTTCAAATTACAGATGAAATGGCATATTCCCAATAACTAACCTGACATGTACATGTATGTTATAGTTTATTGTTAAAAATACATTTGCAAATACCTTTTGCCAAAATTGCCAGCCAAAGTAAAATTATCACTGATCTCTATTCCTAGTATATAGTTTTCTGTGTTTTTCTGATAAAATATATTCCATTGTTATCAATGACAAGATTAAATAGTACAGGTACAGAATGTTATAGTACTTTGTACAAAAATTAGACAACAGACTTTCTAATTACTTGTATGCACCGGAATTTGGACATTTGATAGGTGAAATATAGCATCTGGTTCGTGCGTTCCGAGTTCAGAAGAGAAAAAAATCTCTTAAAAGAGAGGATGCTCGAGTTTCAGTGCATCCTGATCCAATGACTTTCCCAACCAGAATGTCCAAAGGAGTTCCCAATCTAAATAGCTCAGTCAGTAAAAGCGTTGGCCTGTATAATGTCAAATGCAGATCCAGAAAGCATGGTTTGATGACCCCATACCATGGTGGTTTCTGTTTCTCAGAAAGCTGAGAAAAGGACTGTCTGTGCTGACGTGATTGTGTACTTCGGCAAGACACTTCATGCTCATTGCTTTGGAATGACATGTGACTGGCCTCCCATTTGTTATTACTCAGGTAGCCACTAGCTTTTACATTTTAAGAGGATACTCTGCCTCAAAATGACCCTAACTGTTCATGAGAAAATAAACCTGGCAATCCAAATATTGTAAACACGGGCTACATTAAGTCACTATATAACAGTCTGAAGTTCTGACAGAGTTGTGGTTATATACTAAAACCCCACTTACTCGAACTTGCATTCCTCAAATACCCCCTATTTGTCAAACTGCCCGCTCCGTCCCTACCGTTTCCTTATATATTCTACGTTATAAAACCCCGGATTCCTCGAACTGCTATTCGTCGAATACCCCCTTTTTGTCTAACTCATATTTATCCCCGTTCCCTAATATTACCATAGTATATTCCCATGTTTTCGTCGAACATGTAATCCACCTGTGTCACACTTGACTGCGTTAACGTGAGCTGATCGGCTCTGATCACTGCCATGTGTTTACACAGGTGTGCGACATGACAGCAGCCAATTAAGGGATTAACAACAGGTTTACCTACCTGTGCTGATACTTCACACCTTATGCAGTAATTTTATCATTACCTTTCTAGTACACACATGCTTTAGCGTGACTTAAAAAGTTGAATAATATTGTAACATTATACTGGAAGTTTTATTTCAGTAAAACCAAATTACGAAATGACACACTAATAACGGAACAATTTTCTACTGATGTATCGTTGTAACGGCTTTCCCCCCAAGGGGCATTTATACACTTTTAAACAATGAGTTTGTGTTCGCATTTTTCTATGGTTAGATTCACATATCTTTGTGTCCGTAATTAGGCCTATCTAAACAAACAGTACATATAGAAAAATAGTCACTGAAGCCGACACGCCGCTACTCTCTGTGATATTAGTGATAACAAGCATTAATTAAAAATCAGAGTGGGTATATGCGAAATCACAGACTTAACTTCAATTAATATAATGCAAATGTTTTTAAATTGATAATTAGCATTTTAATAAGAGTAACTCTGGGTCATTATCTGAACAAGCGTAATTATGAGTACCACAGTGTCAAAATGTTGAGGAGATCGCTAGAGTATTACAGGATAACGCTACCATGACAAATCATTCACAACCTCTCTCACAATGATTTCTAACTTTAATGGCAGAGCTGAGCAATCCAGTGTTGAAGGGCCCAGTGATACTGGGAGGGCAGCTCGATCAGCTTCTCCAAAGTTAGGGGTGAAGAGGAAAGTAAGTGTCAAGCCAACGGCTGGCTGAACCGGTTTAAAGAGAGGCACAATATCTCTTTTTGACGCGTTTGCGGGGAGGCTAACTCAGTTGACTCGAACTCAGATGCCATGAGTAGCTGGGATACCCCACAAAAGTCCATCCTCAGCAACTACGCCACCCGGGATGTCTTCAATGCCGATAAGACTGGCCTATTCTTCCACCTTATGCCTGACAAAACACTTGATTTCAAGGGATCTGCCTGCAAAGGAGGAAAGAAAAGCAAAGAACGCCTAACTGTGATGGATGGAATAGAGAAGATGTCCCTCCTTGTCATCGGGAAGTCCGTGAAGCCCCGATGCTTAAAGAACATCCACACTCTACCGACCGAATACACATCGAACAAGAAGGAGTGGATGACGTCAGACCTCTTCACAGAATGGATCCAGAAACTCTACAAGAAATTCCAGCATCAGAACCGTCAAGTCGCCATGATAATTGACAACTGCCCTGCCCATCTCCATATCAAGACTCTGAAGGCCATCGACTTGTATTTCTTGCCACCTTACAATACCTCGATTACTACTTACTATGACCAGAGACGTACCATCTCGGTACAGACTATATCTCACACACGATCTACATTTTGACCAACCTCTGATTACTCGAATACCCTGTATTCCTCGAACTATTGACACAGGCCTGAGGGTTTTACTGTATATAATTACCCAATAACGCTGTTTCAGGCTTTTGGATTTGTTACAAACCATAGAATATACTAGATTGAAACAGGGACGTATATATACGTCCCCAATTGAAATAAGCTATTTTATATACTGTAATAACAAGGTTATTTACAAAAATTCATAAAATCACTGTCATATTCGTTGAAGTTCGTAACTATATATCTTTGTAGAGCAAATATGTTGGTGTAAGTAATTTGTAATAAATTCCTGCGATATGGCTGGGAGGAGAGGGGATATCTGGCGTTGTCGACGATTTGTGTGATATGTAGGTAAACATCTGAGAATATGTTTGCTTATATTATCATTATACCTGTCTCGATGATAGATATGACTCCCACAAGTATACAATCCACTGAAATCCAAGAACAGCCGCAAATATTGTGCTCTCAGAAACCTCCATGATGCCGGCTTTGTAATCATCACCGTAAGTGCGGCGCTTAGAAAACTGCACAAATTTAAGCGTAAAAAAGACACGGAATCATTTTAGATAAAAATGTTAATATTGACAAAAGTAAGTACTTTAGATATAGAAAACTTCGGTTTATGCACTGGTATGCCCAAATAATATTATTAAATTAAACTATGTACCAAATGTTCTTTCTGCTTTCTATCTTTATTTCTAAAGAGAGAGAGAGAGAGAGAGAGAGAGAGAGAGAGAGAAAAGGTATAATCAGGGACGTATAATACAGTAATAATAATAGTATTATACGTCAGTATTTCAAAGAAATGTGCTATCAATAACTAGAATTAGATATCAATTATTCATATAATGATTAGAATTAATGTTATAAGATAAAGATAAGATAAGATAAGTTTATTTCCGGTTCAGGACGTGAAGAGTGTATTAGTATATTAGACTCAATAATGCATGTTTAGTTTCAAGATTCTACAATAAATAGATAAATTATGTATGTCTCTCATAAAACGATGTTTCTTATACAGTTAATTCAATAGTTAAGTTATTTCAGCTCTGGAGTTGAAGGAAAGTTCTTGGTTCTTCCAGTAACAGTTTAACTCATTTTTACGCCTATTGACAGTTTTTACAATAACAATATGGTCGGGTAATTTGTTTCCGATCGATGCTGATCTCATGGAAAAAAGTTTTTGCGTGGTCTAGTTGAAGCTCGTTTTGGAAAATTTGTCTTCGAGTTGACTCACCGACTGTGGCGTTGAGTGGCCTCAGCTCATAGTTGGACCGAATTGCAGCATTCCCGGTCATACAAGTTCAAGCATTTCTCCCCTGACTCTCCTGACGGCTGAAGTTGGTAGGTTCAGTTTTTCCAATCTCTGGCTGTGGGTAAGATTTTGCATGCCAGCTAATCATATAGTTGCTCTTTTTGAACTTGCTCAATTTTATCAACATGCTTCATCTAGTACGGTGCCCAAACTGAGCCCACAAAGTCCAAGTGAGAGCGTACTAAGCATTTACACAATGGGATAAAAGATTGTTGATCCATAAACTGAAATGTCCTTCTGAGAAATGCAAACACGGAGCTGGCTTTCTTTACTTTTTCGCTTATATGATGACCAAATGATAATTCCGAGTCTATGATAACTCCGATATCCTTTTCCTGAGCCCTAGTCTGCAAGGATTTCCCCTGGAGTTGGTAGATTTGCGTGAATGTTTCCTGTCCTCTGGCTGTTCCATTATACAATCTGATGTGTTTGCGCTTGTCAGGATGCATTTTAAGTAGCCATGTGTTGCTCCAATTTGTCATGTGATCTAAATCCTTCTGCAGGCTAGTAACATCCTTCTCGTCTTGTACGACTTTAAAAATCTTATTATCATCTGTAAAGAGGTAAATGTTTGAATCAACTACACTCGGAAGGTCGTTTACGAAGATTACAAGTACAGTTCCTTGGGGTTTCCAGATGTCACCTCGGCCCTTTTGGAACCTTCGCCTTTTACTGTCACTTTTTGTATCTGACTTTAGAAATGCTGCTATCCAGACAACTATCTATTCTGGAAAATTATATGACTGCAATTTGCTGATCAGGCGATTATGTGGTACCGTATCAAATGTTTTTCTATAGTCCATATATATACAGTCTATTTTGTTTCCTTTATCTAAAGCCTTTGTTCATTTATCCAATACTTTCAAAAGTTGTAGGGATGTTGACCTTCCTTGTAGGAAACCATACTGTCTATCTGAGAAGTAAACATTTTTTCATAGGACTATAGTTATCTAGTGTTATCTTAGAATCTACATCTAAGTCCGTGTTGTTATATTTTAATATTTATTGATACCAAATAAAAAATAAATCAAAGAAGTCATTGATTAATTCAATAACATAACCACAGATACTCTAATCACTTGCGAGCACTCATGCATTCCTTTATTTAAGTTCAATCTACGTTTAAAACAATACTGGAATACGGATGTTAAAGCAACATATACTGAGACTTCCCCTGAGCTAAGGAAGAAGTGCATTATTGACGTTCAGTAGCCTTTTTATCGTCATTGCAAATTTGCAAAATGCGCTTTCAAAAATACCCATCGTGATGCGTATGAGAGGTATTAGCGCCCTCTACAACAAAAGGATCTATCTCAGGAACAATGACATTTTGCCCACGCACCAAATTATAAAAAAGTGGATGGAATCTGTAGCACATTGAATGACTACCAATGAAATAGGATTGAATAATTCAAAATGTCCATAGGGCCTGTGCTACGACCCATTTAGTGTCGTTACCATAGGAGTATGACTGGGTTCAGTTTTTCATCTGAAAAAATATCAAAACCACAGCGTAAATTACCAAATGATATACTGTCTGATTAACAAGGATCAGTTTGACAATATGGTGGTAAGTATATATCAAAGTTTTGCAAAATAAAAAAAAAAGACCACATAAACTATTACTTAATATATCAATATCACCAATTTACTTCTTGACAATAACCTGAAGGCCTTGAATATTCGCCCTAGAACATACCACTAAAACATTGAAAGCAGCAAACTGTTGAGGTTTTACTGTGAAAATTATCATATAAATGTGTTACGGTTAAATAACTGACTGGAATCAAATGGGAATTTAACTATATGATACATATATGTACATGCAAAACTCCAAGAGAACTTAACTAGGTCACGAGGTCAAAAGTCAAGGTGATATTTTAACTAGAATGTATTTTATTGGCAAATATTGTCTTTGCAAATATTAATCAGTGCTCGACATAATCAAATTATCATAAGTTGTAGATGAATGATATTTAGTCGAAAGACTGAACGTGTTATTATTGGAAATTGTGTAATCCAGAAAAAGAAGGATTAGTTAGCTTCAATGATTATATGTACTACATATTATCAAATTTCTAAATAAACATGTATTGTACATTACAAAAATAATCCTTTACAGTACTTTGATTTTATTAACGCGTCGTTCTTCTCTTTTTTTTTACTGACCAAAAATAAAATATTTACAGTAGATTAAGGTTTAGTGAATTGTTCTAGTGCTAATAATTTGCTGGGAATTCGTTAAAACTAGGTCAGTCTTTCTCTGGAGGTTTCTTTCGTGTATGATTTTGCTAAGTTGAATATGTCGTTCATTCAATTCCTATATTTATTTTGCAATGAACATTGTATCACCACAAAGTCATATGTTCTTATTGAAAGTGATACACTTTCAGTGATAGAGTCACACAGACCACTATGCTTAACTTCCCAGTGCTTTCACTGATGACAATGATAAATGTCTTAACAAAAGATTTAAATCTACAACTAAAAATAAATAAATAAATAAATAAAACAAAACATGATAATCAAGATTATATTTAATGGCGTGATATTAAGTACAATACATTATATACAATTTGTGTCTATTTACATATATAGACCCCGTCTAATAGGGTCAAGGTTATTTGGAAATGTCGGCAAGCAAAACTACCTGGCAAAATGGAATACCTGACGAATTCGGAAATATAGGTAGAAATGGCTAGGTAGATATTTCCCTGTCAGGTTGAAACACGCTCTCGTCTCTAATGGGTACCTCAATAACTATGCCGAAAACAAACGTAAGATCTATGTGGCGGTCTACAGTTACCTTATCCACACATGTCTTTTGATGTTGCCATGTCTCGTACGTTGTGGAATTTCTACATTTACATCACGGCGTTCACTTTCTAAACATTGAAAAAAAAACCGCTTTTTTATGTCTTCGATCACTAGCGTACACCGTACCGTATCTAAAATTTCCATTCAAATAAATTTCAAAATATTTAGAAAAACATTTACACTTTTAATGAATGAATTAAAAATTTACATCATAGTGCTGCGTTTAAATTTCACCCCTTCAAAAATTCAATTCGCCAATATAATCAGGGATGTCTTGATATTCACTCGAACTGCAAGACTTTTGAAATATGTTTTTCTTTTTCTAGAGTTACACCCCTTGTTACTATAATACATACCCACAAGTGGACAGTGGGTCGAGAATTCGTGCCAGATTTCAGTGTCATATATATACCAAAACTTGTAAACATTTTTCTTATGATTTATAGCAAGGGGGATTTCACGTTTACTATCAGTGACGAAGTTATGACAAAGAAGTGGAATTCCTAGTAATGTTTAGTAATGGCGGATAGCAACATGCCGAACATCGTAACAAATAGTCTCGCGCGCTGTGCAAACAACACGAGTCTGATTGAACGATAACAAGCGATTAGTATCAGTGTGACAAAAGCTATAAAAAGAAAAGCTAAACATTATGCACTACATGTATCTATGAACACAACAAATACAGCATTCAAACTTTATATATAAATCATCATCATTGCGGACTAAGTCAACTAAGTCAAAAGCCGTAATATAAGACTTGATAAAATGATATGTCCCAGTATGGACTTAAGAATTATGTCTCTGTCACATCACTCATAATTCATTATATAACACACAAGAGATCCCAGAGGGATCTTGGCGCCCATCATTGTTTGATCTTTATTTGTTCTTTGAAAGTTGAATATTTTCCCTTCATTTCTCTTCTATGTTTTTGCTCTTATTGATAAGACATTTGAACATTCCTTCGTAGAAAAAACAATGACAATATTCACCTGCCAAATCTAAAATGACCGCCTGGAAGCCGTTTTATTTCTTTTGATCAGTCCCAAATCAAACGTTCACAAAGATGAAATTTGAGAGACATCCATTCAGGACTTCTTAAGAAATAGCAATAACAATCTGTATTAGGCAAAATCCAAGATGGCCGCCTTCAGGCCATTCAGTTTTTCTCATCAGGCCTTAAATCGAATGGCTAAAAACTAAGGACCAAGGTATATCTACATACATGATTTTTAAGAAAGATCCATACAAGAGTTCTCAAGAAATAGCGATAACAAACTTTCAAAATAAAAATCCAAGATGACCGTCTGTCGGCCATTATTTTTTCTGAACAGTCCCAAAATT